TTGATTGTGCTGTAGGCTGGGTTCATGTTCTCCAACCACCAGTTCAAGTTTCAATTTTGTATACTTGCTGGAAGTTTGGGTAGTTGACATTCCCAAACAGGCCATGGTAACCCCAGAGCAATCTATAAATTTAAATGCTAATGACTACAGCATAACCTAGACAAGAAACCTATCAATAAAAACAATGTGAAGAAATAGCTACAGACAATAAGAATAAAAAAACTTTTCATGTGAATATTAAAAATTAGTTACAGGTTAACAGTTCTTGCTAGCCCAGGTAAGCTTCTGCTTGAATGAAAATTCACTACTTATGAACAGACTCAGGATATCTTGCCCACAACAGACTCCTCAAGTAATGTAGATTCTGTTGATTTTTATCCATTCTCTTTGTCAGGCTCCAGTGGAATTGTTGAAGTTGGACTTAGCACAGAAGCCACCAGCAGAAATGCACTGAGTGTGCTGCTCTGTTGGCAGGACTCGAGGTTGTCAACGCAATGAAAGGATCTCAGCTACATAACCCAAGTTAAACTTGCCTCCTGCCAATCTGCCACATGCTAAATTCCAGTAAATTGCTTAATTAATGTAATGAAAGCAAACTGCACTCCAGTCTGCTCTGTAGGTAGCTGAAAACACCCTCTCATACACAAGCAGTGATGCTGTCCTTTAACAGTGTGGCCTACGTTTATCTGTTCCTAAGAGCTCCTATGTGCACACCCCTTGTAAATTTTTCTATTCCATTATACAGAAAGTATTTCTGGTTAACTATTTTGGTAGCCTCATTTATATTCCCTATTTCTAGAAAGGCTCATGCGTATGTTTAATGCATGAATAGTTCCAGGGAAGTCAACGGGAAAATTTATACCTTTAAAGTTAAGGGTGTGCATATATCTTTACAAAGTGAAAATGGACTTTTCATCTATACCTTAAGGTTTCCTCCAGCTGCATCTGCCAGAACATATATAACTGAACCAGACTTCTAACACTAATCCATTATTCCTCCACCTAGAAACTTGAAATCCACCATTAACTCTACAGTCATTATATATGGTTCTCTTCCTTTTTCCTGTGTCTTTCCCAAATTACTCAGAACATGGGGCATGAAAAAATTACTGTGGCTTTTTCCTGTGTCTTTCCCAAATTACTCAGAACATGGGGCATGAAAAAATTACTGTGGTGTCTAGGGAAGCACATGCACGGGCAGAGCCAGGTGGTGCTGGCTGGAGAAGGACATCAGGCCATGCTGACCATGGCTGTTGTCTCATGTTGTGGTTCTGAGGCCTGTAGAGGTATCCATGGGCTCACTGAACACGGGAGTTCTGTTCCGGCTCACTGAACACGGGAGTTCTGTTCCCAGAACAGTTCTGGGAACTGGGATCACTGAACACACCACAGTTCTGTTCCCAGCCTGTGATGACTGGCAATTACTTCCACCTTGTTCTGGATCAAAATCCGTGATCTAAACATCTATCCCCAGTCTCCTGTACTCCCCGTGCCCCAGTGACTTGGAGCCCTTTCCCACCAAACACATCAGTCATTGTTTTGATGGCTTAGGACCGCACTGGTATTTTTGGTATTTATGTTCCACTCAGGAAAAAGTCCAATAAAGTGTAATAATCTGTGTTGCAGAAAAAAAGTAGCTGCATTTTATGTCAGTTTATTTTCCTCTACTACAAGGACAGGCCAGTCAAAGACTCCATGGAGTAGAAAAGTGTGCGCAGTAGAAAAGCACAACTCCTGCCTACATGACGTTAAACTATCTAGTAGAAGCAACATTTTTTGCTTGGTGATTGCATTCCCTCCCACTCTCACACAAGCCAAAAGGAGTCTCTTGTGTTTACAGCCAGAGAATGGGAGACAAGCACTGGGCTGGTCTTGGCTCAGCTCAGTTTTTTGTTTGTGTTGGACACACGATGACACTCTTCTCTTCAGATCCAAGGTCCTAAAAGCAATTTGTTTTCATTTAAAAACAGAAAAGGCTGTGCTTTCTTACCAGCACACATGCTGGGGAGGGCTGAAAAAGCAGCTGTCTATCCTTTTGCCTCAGCAGAGGAGCTGTAGCTCCCATGGCTCCCACCCAAATCTCAGGCGCGTCAGAAAAGTATAACCACAAACTTTCCAACCTTTTGTGATCGAGCCAGCAATATTCCCGGTTTGGCAACTACAACTCCCAGTTGTCAGCCTTACTGGGCTGTATCAGAGCCACGTGGACATGGGGAGCTGCTCACACAGCCCAACTTGCAAGACCGGTGCCTCAATTTGTCATGCTCATATAATAAATCAATTTGTTTCCTTTAACGAGGGGTTAGTCAGCAAACCCTCGCTCATGCTTTTCTTGTACAGTAAATTCCACTTCTCTGTAGGATTTGTGTGACTGTGGCCTTACCTTTGCTTTAGGAGAAGCAGTGAAATGATGTTGGTTTTCCTGAGACATCCATTCTCTTGTTGAATCCTCCCACCCAACAAGTACCTGATTTTTCTACCCATGGTGAACAGCTTTGGACATGTGGTCTACCCTGTGTCGTATACAGCGTGGTGTAGGGAAGGGATGTTGTCCTCCAAGCCAGGCTGACCTGAATGTGATGTGGCTGAGCAGCAGAGCATTTCACCCACAGCCCCACTGCCACCCCTGATTTGTGTCCCGGGGGCATGTGGAGGTTCTTTGTTCCGGAACAGTCTGGGACACTTTCCCACTGAGCTGGGGGAGATCCTGTCTGTCCTTCTGGACAAACAGGTTGTTGTGTTAAGCAGGAGAGGCCTATCAGTGCTGGCATCTCTCAGCCTGCCCCGGAAGGGCTGCGTGGGAGGGCTGGTTACCAGCACCAGTAAAAGTGGCTCCTTGTAGCCCCCTTGGCCTCTCTGGCCCCACTTGAACCCTACTTGAACTCAGGTTCAGGCAAGAGATTTCGCACGTGGTTCAGAGTGGGGCTTGGAGCAAGAGGACAGTGTCAGCAGTAGATCCCTCAGCACTACTCCTCCCCAGCTCTGGCTGATGGACTGCAAAATCTCCAGCCCCATGTGCTCAGCCTGGCTCGTCCAGCTGTGGGAGGAATTTCAGCTGTGGAATAATTTCTCAGAGGAAGTGTCTATCCATGAATTAATGTCTCTAAGAACTAATTATTGGGTAAACTGTATAAACAGTCCCTGGAGTGCCTCTTCAGTACTCAGCTTTTGGGCTTCAAAACAGACAGAGCAGGCAAGAGGATTTTCAAAGGATGCTCTGTCTGGGCAAGCGATGATGTAGGTAACTCAGTGGTTTTCCCTCTCACAGCCTAAAAAGACAGAAAGGTCCATAGTGGTCATTTGGGGTGAAAATTTATAGCTTATTAATTAAAAAAGAAGAAAAAAAAAAGGCCATTTCTAGGCCAGGTCATAGATTCTAGGCTGCCATCCAATGTCAGAAAATGTTCCCCTCCCAGCAGGGGATGCAGGCTAAAAGGTTATTTAATACTTTCTGGTTGATTTGAATATATTTGGAATAACTGCCTTAAATGATTGGTTTTGGCCTGAGAAACTGTTTGCTTACCTGGCACCTGAACTTCAGTGATAAACTTTAATGTCCTCCTCTGAGTATTCCCATAACACACAAAGGAGCTTTCATGCAGTCCCACTAGCTATAAATCTGACCTTTCTTTAAAAAAAAATCAAAATCAGATGTTGTTCATTATCTCTTCCAACTCTGATCTACCCATGAATATCCAAAAGTTTTAAAAGCCCTGCTTAAGCAGGTCTCCACTCCATTGATGGAATATCCTTTAATATTTTATAGCTCTGACTTGCACTTCTAAAAGTACTAATTAATCTCACTAGATAAAAACTGGCACAAAATGGCACAAGTGAGAATAGCTCCATCCTTCCTCATAGCAGTCGTGTGCCAGTTCATCTTGGAGCATGTAATGATTTACTGTAATAGTTTTAGGCCCATAATGGGGCCAATAACTGGCATCTGGAAGCTGTGAGGCTCTTTCCCAATGGATGCCATTCACATATAGTTATTTAATTAATTAACAGCTCCACTAGCATAAGCCAGTGAAGAGTCCATTAAAGTTGTTGGGTTTTTTTTAAATATCTTCCAAAGTAAGAACATATGCTGCACACTGCTTTTCCCTTGGAGAGTGCTTAATGTTGCAACCTGTTTATCTTATGACTGATTTTCAAATTCCACCTTAACCAGCTGCTTTTTGCTTGACTTTGGGATTCAGCAGAGACTGAATGGCGAAGTGCTCAGCAGGAGCAGTGGAATAACATTCTACCTGCATGTGCTCATTCCTGAGTGAGGTGCCAAACCCCTGCAATGGCTGCGTGGCCGCCTCTGTGCACTTCCCAGACTGTACATGTGATGCACTTCTACTTGCCCATTTTCTCTCTGTTGAAAGAAAAAAAACTAATAAAAAAAAATAAAAATCAAGGTGTGGAGTTCATTTGGAATAAGCAAAATATCCATGGGAAAACGAACTCCAGCATTGGAGGGAGTTGGTCAAGTTTGTAAAATGCATTTGAGAGCTCAGTCCCATGTGAAATGTGGAAAAGCCATCAGAGGCCGTAAAGCCAGCAGGGATGGGTTTGGTCTGGTAACGGTGCCAAAGGATTTTGCTTCCCAAGCGAGGATTCCTGCTCCTGAGGAGCAGTTAAATGCAAACCACGTCTTGATGGGTGGTGGCCTGCAGTGGGGCGAAGGGCTTGTCCATAAGCCTCCGTCCATCTGCAGGGAGCTGAAGCAGGAGATAAGAGCAGCTTCCCCTGGCACTGGCCAGGCACAGGCACGTGCAGCATGCAGCTCCAGCCTGGTGCCACGCAGCATGCGGCATCTGAGGAGCTGCCCCAGAAGACATGAAATTGGAGAAGCTCTGACAGGACAGGAATGTCATTTAACAGTGACTGTCTAAAGTGAGCCCTGCTAACGTGGCAGGGCACAGCGTGAGCTCCCTGGTACTGCATCGTGATATGTAGGACATGTCAAAAGTTACATAATCCCTGATGCAGAATCATTTTCCCTGGCTGTAATGTGTTGTGTCGTTCCTCCTCCTGCTCTCCCTCCCACTGGTCTGCAGCACAGCCTTCTGCCTGCAAGGCTTTTACTGGGGTGTGCTGCAAGGCTTGGGAAAACCAGCAGTGCCCTGGAGCAACTGTCATCCAGAGCCCTTCAGCTGGTGCCTCACCCCTGTGATCCACCATGGATCATCCAAGGGCTGCCAGAAACCCAGAGGAAGCCAACAGGAGCTGGGTTTGATGCCCCTGTGAGAGATTCAGGTTTGCCCTGCCCAGATGTCAGGTGTGGACAGCGAAGAGTGAATCTTTTTAACTGTGACATCTCGTGCTCCTCCCTAGGTAGAGCCTCAGGCCTGACAAGCCTGAAAGTTCAACACCCAGCTCACTTCCAAGTCCATCAGGGCTCTGAAATTGCTCTTCAGCCTAAATCCTCTGAAACAACCAGTCTGTCCAGGCTGCTGGGTCATGGCAAGACCTCCTGGCAGGTCTTCTCCTCCCAGAAGGTAATGGCAGCTGCTGCTGCCTCACAGAGCAGGGGCTGTACAGGACGTGGTTCCCACTTTCAGTTGCCTAATGGTCAAAGCACTCTCCTGAAAGCAGCACATGGACCAAGTTCCTTCTTCTGTAAAAGAGCATTCAAACATGCATCTCTCACTTTCCTCAGCATAATTCAGCCCCTGATATAATGCACTCAGTCCCTGGGATAATGCACTCTCCTTGGCTGGAGGAAGAAGGGACACTGAATTCTCTAATGCTTGTGTCTGGGTGACCTGCAATCTGCATAAACTCCATCAGAAGTCCCTGAAGCAGAGGCCAGAGCTCAGGATCTCTCCTCCCAGGAAACTGCCATAACCAATAGGCCATGCAAGGTCACCTCAGCTAACTTCACCAGTATCCAGGTACCTACGTCTCCCATAGGCAGCAGGGAAACAGGCATTTCCTGTCCTGAGACAAATATCTTGAGCTCCTTTTCCTCTCCACTGACTGTATGTGGAGCCTGGGGTGACTAATGCAGTCTTTGAAGTCCAGTTGTTCAATATCTACATCAAGGATGATGAGTCCTCCCTCTCCTCCCTCCAACCCCTTCCTGTCTTCTCATTCTATCCCAGTAACCCTTTCATGATGCCGCAGCTATGACAGGAAGATCTGGGAGCACAGAGCTATCCTAATTCCCTGCAGAACTGCCAAGAGTTAGGGGCGGGAAGGCTCATCATGGAGCTGCAGGCTCCATCTCCAGGAGCCCTCCTGTGAACCAGCAACCCCCCGGGAGAGAAGGTTCCTGACATCTGTTTCCTTTCCTAATTTATTTTAATAGGCAAGAATGACCACTTCTTGGTTCTGCACAACACATGCTGTAGACACCTATCTTCTGCAAAGAACTGTAAAAAATATTAATATGGTAATTAATACCTCATGGGTACTTCGTGCTTTTGTGGAAAGCAAAGCAACTATAACCCAGTTTGACTGGCTGTTCTGTTTTACTGATTTGTCCTGCTCTACTACTTCAATTAATATCCTCTTTAAATGTGACTTAGGCTTAATATTACTTACCTTCAAAATATTAGAAGCATCCCACATGACTTCAGGTCTCTTGATTAGAGTTCATTTACAGATAAATCACCTCAAGGTGCAATGAAAGTTAAGCACATATACTGGGAATTTAAAGTAAAACACGTCTGATAGATTTTGCAACTAAAAACTAAAACCAAAAGCTAAAACTAAAAAAGTAAAACCCTGCAGCAGAAAATCCAGAACACTCATTCCTGAAGTTACACTTAAAATCCAAATCAATTAATGTAAGAATCACAGAATCATAGAAAGGTTTGAATTGGGATGTACCTGAAAGATCACTTCATTCCAAGTCCCCTGCCATGGGGCAGAGACACCTTCCAGGTGCTCCAAGCCTCATCCAGCCTGGCCATGAACAGTTCCAGGAATGGGGCATCAACAGCTTCTTTAGGTGACCTGCTCCAGAGCCTCACCACCCTTAAAACAGCAAATATATTTACTCTCTTGTAGAGTTTACCTCATGAGAAAAACACATTCTATTGTAAGCCTCAAAAAAAAATTCTGACCAGCTCTAGCCATTGATTTTGAACCCTGCGAGGTCATAGGCAAGTCCAAAACTGCAGTGTGGGACCTTTGTGTGCTGACTTTCTCCACACCCAGCCTCTAGACCAACCTTCCACTTCTTTCCTAGGTTTGCAAACACATCAGACTGAACTTCTGAAAATATTCAGAGATTCTTTCAATTCACAGCCTGAGAACTCGCTGGGATGGAAACATGATGGTGTGATTTTCTGTTTCCAGGAGTGTCGCTGGAGGATCAGGGAGTATCATTAAAGCACAAGATAGAACTTTCCCTGGACATATGCTGTATAACGTAAAAACACTCAAAAGATTAACAGCAATCAGGGATGTATCTCTGGCTGTGCACACATACCAAATCTGCAAACAAGGGATTAGAGATATATAGCATACGAACCTGCAAGGAAGAAATACAGTGGGGCCAGAAATGGGATCGTAAGAGAAAGGCTATTCCTGCATTTGTAAAATTTTATACAGATCCTTGTATTCCATGATGGCTTATTTGCATTGCAGGAATATGTAGAAAAAGAGATCAGTCCCAAGCTGCTGGGGTTTGTATATGCTGCTCATGAAGAAGAATGTCTGCCCTGGAGCTTGCAGGCCAAGAGCTGTTCCTTGCAAGTGCATCCACACGGTTGGACTCTCAGCATGTGGAAACCCAGTCCCAGGCATCAGCCCAGAAGAGTTATTTAAACAAGAAACATCTTTATTCTTTCGATGCTCGTTATTAAAACAAAACACCCTTCTGAATTTTAACAAGATCCATGCACTCCCTGCCTGGCTTTACTGTATCACCCCCTTATCTAGAAAGTTTTTCCTAATGTCAAACCTAAATTTTATTACCTGCAAATAAAACTGGTTCCTTCTTTCCCTATCCCTCAGCAAGCATGGGGAAAGATTTATCACCATCCTCCTTACAATAAACTTTAACATATTGCAAGATTTTTATCACAGATCTTCTTTAGACTCTGCTGTTCCCAGACTAAACAAACAATCCTTTCAACATTTCCTCCTAGGTTGTTCCTTCTATGCCTCTGATATTTCTAATGTCTCTCTCCTGGACTCTGTCCAGTTTGTCTACATTTTTCTTTACAGCACAGTACCCAAAACTGGACATTCTATTCCAGCTGAGGCCTCACCGGTGCCAAGCAGAGTAGAATAATTATCTCCTATGTCTTAGGTTGCAGTCTCACATCCTGTTCTGCCTGCAGCTGAGCTGGGTGAAAAGTTTATTTCTTTTCACCCACTCCAGCTGCTTATCACCACCCCTCAGCTGCAGGCTCTCCCCCTCCCAGGTCAGCAGCATAACTGCCGGGGGATTGCTCCAAACACAATCTGGGTGAATGGTCCAGGTTACAGGCAATAATTCAAATAACAGGGCTTCCCTGATCACCAGTTCAACAGGCCCAGGTGAGGCTGAGGATAAACAGGTATGAAAAAGCTGAAACCTGAGGTGGGAGGGGATGATGAGCAACAGGGTAATAGACAGCAGCTTTTACAGCTGGAGGAAATACAGCCAGGAAAGGAAACATGATATTGTCCTTACCCTCAGCCTTTTGTCCCCTCTGCACCCTCAGTCCCTCCTGATGCTGTTGCCCAGCTGGGAAATCCTCTTTTTGTATTTCTCCTCCCAGAGTATGGTGGCTTGCACTTCATCATCAGGCTGACTTTATAACATTTTTCCTCATTATCAATGCCCTTGTGAGCACATCCCTTGTTCTCACACCCAAGCTGGTTATGAAAAGGACAGAGAGGAGAACATTGAGGTCTGGCTGTAAAGCTGTCCTAGTGTGGCAGCAATAATTTCATAGCCGTCCTTATCCACTCCTGCACCACCTCAGACTGACAAAGTTTTGTGTCTGCTCACAGGCCTTCACTGAACAGGCTCACAAGGCTCACCAGTGTCACAGTGAAAATTCCTGTTGCTTCCCTGCACTTACTCTGCCTACAGAGAACACCTGGTAGGACCCCATATGGGCTTTTCCCACTGACAGGAGAAATACAGCCAGACAATATGGAAGTACTGCACTGATCAGACTGAAGATGAGCCTTTCTTTGCTTAATCTGTGGCTTCTGCAAAGATATGACAGAAGCCTGAGCTGGCTGATGATCTGTCTTGCAGATTTGCTGCTCCCCTCCAAAACAGTGTTTTGTGCTCTGAAGAATGAAGATTTGGTAAAACAACAATCCTGTGAGGTCTAAGGGCATTTCTACACCAGGACCACCAGCCACAGTGAGAACATTCAGACATCATGACCTTGTGGGACTCCCTCCCACAGCTGACTGTTCCTTCTGCTGTTTAGACAGAGTTACACCCATTCTGCTTTATTGCCTTCAGCTCCTGGCATACCTTCATCCCTCCCTTTGCTTATCCATGCATCCTTTCCTTGTCCATCCTCGTTCCTTTTTTTCCTCTTCTCACCTACTTTCCATCTTTGTCCATTGAAACTTCCCTCCAACAGCTTCCTTGTTTTCTCAGGCTCCTCTGTGCCACCTCTTCATTCTCCTGGCCCCACCACGGCCCCCAGTAGCCGCAGGCAGGCTCTGCCCTGCCCAGACACAGCTGTGGGGACTCTGTTCATGCCACAAATCCCCTTTTCTCAGGCTCTGTGGGAGCTGAGGGTTGGGTACTGCAAGCTCATGGCAGGCTGAAGTAATAGGAGTAGAGATGAGGTGAAGTTCTTGTTCTGTCTTGAACACAGACTGCCAATCATGCCATAATAGATGGTGGTTCTAGGCAGGGAACAGCTTTTCAGCCCACCAAAATTATACCATTAAATGGAATTTCCTCTATGGGCTAATCAGGATTTGAACCCATTTCTCTGGAGATAAAAGGCACAGCTCAATATCCTGGTTTGCGAGGTCATCTGGAATACAAATCAACTTTCATGTATTCATTTGAAATGTTTTTATGTAAAGGATATATTTTTTTCTAATCTGCTTGTTAGTGCCTTGTGCCTAAACTGGAGCTGTGAAGTGACTTTTTCTCACTAGAGGCTAAATAAAGTACTGTACTGTATTTATAAATGTCCTAAGCTTTGCCAGAAGGCTGGCAATGAAAGAGGCTGGCAGGAGACAGGCAGTGTCTCTGTTCTGTATCACGGAAGTGAGCCCAAGGACACCGGCCAGTGCCTCCCATCCGCGGGAATGCGACCAATTAACGCACGGATGATGTCATGGGATGGCAAAAGCACTTCCCTCGCAGCTCTCCCTGCTCTGCCAGCTCCAACCTTCAGTGTATTTTCCTCAGTCTGGTCCATGTACTGTAATAACTAAGTCAACTGGAAAAAATATTGAAGAAAAGACTGAGGAAAAACAGAGTGTAGGGGCAGCTGGAGCCAGCAAAGAAGGCACACTGAGAGCTATAAAGACGCTTTGTGCAGCAGCTTCTCTCAACTTCAGGATATTTAGTTCCACAGGAGTTGGAGAAGATGGGTAATAAGCTGGCCTTTATTTTAAGGGATATCCCTTGTAGTCTCAGCTGCATAAAGATCAGTCTTTGGGCATGTGGAAACAGTGCTAACAGTATCTCTCTTTCAGTACCTCCTGCTGCTCACTCCATTGAATGGCCTTGGTCCAGCTAGAGAGGAAAAAAGCCTTCCATCCCAAAACAGTCATCGGTCTGAGGGAAAGGAGGGGATGAAAAGAAGCTGCAAGTGATGAAGTGAAGTAATTATTTATAGAAAGATACATGACCGCAGCACTCAGGTGCCTGCTCAGGAACAGGGCCCAGTACTGCTCATCCTGAATGCAAGGGAGATGTGCCTGTGCCTTCCCTGCCCCAAAAAAGCCAAAGGGAGCACTTCTCTGGGCTTCAGGCACATGAACCATACTGTGCACAGGGTCAGGGAGCACCATGAATGTGGGATGAGGCTGCTCCAACATCAATCAAGGTGAGGGTCAGTGAAGGATGAGGCCAGGCTCAGATGTAGCTGCAGCATCACTCCGCCATAGACTTGTGAGAGCTGGAGAGAAGAGCTGCCAGTGGGACTTCTCCCAGCTCTTCCCACACGGTCTTTTCCCAGCAGCCTGTTCCCAGGTTGCAGCCACAGCACATCTGGGCTGGCCTGGAACACTGGCAGCCAAACCTCAGAGAGGGAAAATGGTCTTAGAGGTAGTTGGTGCACCTAGGTCTGTGTGTACCTGTGTAGCCACTCAAGGAACTGCCCTAAAGAGGAGATCATTCTGTAAAAACTATGAGTTGAGACATCCAAATGGAGTTGGGATATCCAAATGGAGTCAAGACATCCAAGTGGCCATGTGCACTTCGGGTTATAGATGTATTTGCAAACTGGCTCTGTGTGAACATGCAGTGCTGATGATGCATATATATAAATTCAAACTGGCTTCATGTGACTGTGAACCAGAACATGCTGATGGTGCTGATGGATACAAATTCCAACTGGTCCTGTGTTATTGTGAATCAATATCCATCGTGCTGATTAGACCCATCCAAGTTCTTTTATTTTGTAGCTGATGGGGAGAGCCAAGCTTTGAGCACGGATGGGAGGAAGAAGCAGCTCTCCAGGCATTGAGCAGAATGTCCCAGGGACCAATGTGTTAAACTGATCAGAAAACAAGTTTAAAATTTTACTTGGAAAGAAATTCAGAATAAAATTGCCTTGAATGTATCGCAAGGGATGGTGGCTTGCAGTGTTCTGTTGTGCTAGGCAAGCCAGCAAATGTTCACACTTCCTTTTAACCACAGTCACCTGCACACACTTAGAGAACATTTTTCTACCCTCATCACTTTGCTCTCAAGCCTTTGCTTTTCTGTTCTACCTCCATTGCAAAACTGGCTCCAAACCATCTCCCAAGTCCAGTGTGACAGAGATGAAGAGCAAAGAGATGCCAGATTGCTGTTGGGGGGTCTGGCTGACTGGGACATTGTTGGTAGCTGGAATGTGCTAAGACAAAGGGAGAGCAAAGGAGCCCAGGTTTTTCAGATGGAATCAGAAGGTTCCAGGGGACTTATCTCTGCCTTGTGAAACACTTTGCAGATCTTCCAACTGGTAAAATGTAAAGTGACACTAAGTGAAATAAACTACTTTATAATTCAGTTATAAGTATCTTCAAGAGCCACATGACTAAATTCTAAATCGTTTAATAAAATAAAAGTTCTTGTTCTAGAAGGGTTTTCTTTTTAATGGACACTTCAGATACTCAGTTAAATGTATTGTGACCAATGTAATTATCATTTGCCTGTATCTCAAAATTGTCTAATCAAGCACTAGTGGGCTGAGTAGTTAACAAGCACAAATAGAGATGCTGAACTCTCTTCCTGTGGATTTCATCATCTTCCATTTCCACTCACCAGAAATACCAAAAATGTGGAGACAAGGGCTAGACATAAGTGTATAACAGGAAAACTAGCTGGGAATTAACACAAGCTCAAAAACGAAAAGTTGGGCATAACTTCACTGCAGGACAGGAGAGCAAAACAAGGGGAGGGAAAAAAGGAAAGCAAGCAAAACTACTTTTAGAATGGAAGTTTGCCCATGCAATGAAAGGGATTACATCATGTTTGTCTGCAGTAGTGAAGGGCTGAACTCGGTGACCTCAGATATCCCTTCCAGCTCCTCGGGCTCACAGATATCATTTCACTGAGCACAAAAGAAACACCTGACCCCGCTTCCTTCTGCCACAGACCCAAACAATGCGGCTGTCTGTGGGCAGGAGCAATTTATATACTGAGTGCTTTTTTAGAAGGATCCTCAGAGTTTATCCCTACTCCTTAACCTCTAAATTTGGACAGAATTTAGAGACCTTAGTTCCAGAAGTGCCAAAGACAGCACTGCCTAACCACCATCATGTCTGACGGGCCCTGGTCAGTCTCCCACCTAAACCCCTCTGCAACCCAGATTTAGGCCAGATCCTACACAGAACTTAAAAGATCACTGGAAGGGCACTCTCAGAAAACACTGACAAGTGCTAACAGAA